ATTTTTAAACAAGTCTTGTTATCTTCAACTAATAAATATCAGTTAGTTATATCAGTTTTTTTCACGCTAGAGTTTTAATATCTATTCAACTTCATTGAGAGTCCAACCCTATATTAGTTATGGAATTGCAGGCAGATCATCACTTTACTAAAACAAAGGTAAACCTCTGCATTTTGTGGCAGCAACCAGAGAAGGAATGTGTCTTCCTTTCTTACCTAAATGATACATAAATATCAGTTAAATATCATTTTTCATTTTGTTATTGAAATAAAATATGTGATTTTAAAAGTCTTAAGAATAAAAGAAATGCTTGCCTTATTGAGCTAACATTCTAGATGTAAAGCTATGGGAAAAAGGAGGAATTAAGGTTGATATGGAAATCAGAATTCTTAACAGTACATGGACAACTTTTATAGACACCTGAAGAAGTATTTCTGGATGCCCATAATTTTATCCTTGTTATGAGATAAGACATAGTCTGTAAAATTTTACTGCAGTAGAGTAGGGCTATGTTACCTTAGTGACCAGGCCCCGAGACAGTCCACATTGTCTCTGGAGATGCCTTGCCTTCACTCTCCTCAATGGGTCATTTCCTAGGCATTGGTACTAGCATCCTTTCGTTTTTCATGACCTGAATACTGTTCTGGCTGAGGAAGAAGTTATATTTTAATTAATGTGTACTTTGTGTGCTTAAGAGCTATATGGCTCATGAGTCAGTTACCAACTAAGATAAGCATCATTGAGATGCCAAGGCATAAAAGATGATGAGTTCTGAGTATCAATACTCAATTAGTGAGGAGTGGACGGAAATTGGGGTGTCAGTAGCTAGTGACAGATTTTATATTGAGCACAGGTCTCCCATCATTCTGCTGCCTGCATCAATGCATGTGTTGGCTTCAGGAAGCCCAAAATTCCAAATTGCACCACTTTTAGGATATATTACATCTCTGAAGCCACGTGGTCTGATTTGGGAAAAGTTGACATCGCAGTGTGTATTCAGTTTCTTTTCCACCAAGGAGTGTGTTCCATATAGTGTGTTTCAAGGTACAAATTGAACTAGTGTTTTATTTATCAGTTAGGTAAAAAAGGAAGACAAAAATTCTTTCTCTGGACAGCTGCTGTCACAAACTGCAGAGATTTACCTTTGTTTTAGTAAAGTGGTGAACTGCCTGCAATTCCATAACTAATATAGGGTTGGACCATCAATGGAACTGAATACTAAATAGATACTAAAACTCTAGTGTGAAAGGTGGTTAATGAAGAATATATTTACATGGTTTCAAAGTGTTTCCATGAAGACTTCTTATTAATTGTGATGGGAAAACAGACACCTCCACATTGGAAAAAATAGAACTCTAATGACCAAAATCAAAGCACCGTACGCCCCCTGTTCCAATTCCCTGAGAAAGACACAGAAAAGAATACATGGAATTCTACCCATGGAACTTGAATCAAATCCACAAGGAATACTTAGACAACTCCAAGGAGGGGGAATTTTTATTATGTGTTAAGACTATTACCAAGTGTCAATACAATTAGAAGTAGAAAAACCTAAAAGAATAAAATAAAGAACAGGTTCTGCCTAAAGAATAATTAAGTGAAATATTTGCTTCCAAATCAAAGTTAAATTGAAAGGAAAAAAAATTAAAATTGAACTTCCTAAAAAATTAAAACATGGAACTGGACACTGTGTTAGATATCCCTACCATACTGTGTTCTAGAACATTTTGTAACTGTTTTGTAAATGTTGAATTCTACTCTCAGAAATTTTGATGGTGGAGGTAATTCTGGGGCTAAAGATCAAACTTAGGGCCTTGTGCATGCAGTCCCACTAGGCTACAATCTTTCCCCTACTCTTTATGTTTTAAGATATTTAATATGTATAAAAATCAGGAGTCCTCATCTATAGTATAGTAACAGGTTCTATATAGCAAGAAATTTTCTGGATTCTGCTCCTTGTTCTGGAAGGCAAATTCTAAACCCATGACATTTCCTAGGTGATGAGATAATAATAATAATTGTAGTTATTCATATTTGACTCCTTGGACCACATTTAATAACTTATGCTGGTGAAATCATTTAAGATGGCAGATAGTTTTACAAAAAAAGCTAGCTATATTATTCAACAATTGAGTTTTAGACCACTTGGTATCATTCCAAATTTTTGGCAGAAATGGCAGCATGTAGCAAAGACATCAATCAGTCATAGCTTAATCAAGTCCCAGTGAAAAACTGTGGATCTCAAAACACAGGTGAGTCTCTTTGTCTGACATTTCTCAGTATGTCACATACAGATGTGAGAGTCTTGCGTGTCTGTAAACCATGACACTTCTGCATTTTCCTGCATGTGCCTTATTGGAAGTGGTTCCAATGTGTGTCTTTTTCTTAAAATAAGCCTGTAATTCTAAGCAAAGCACACTCCTAAGTCTGAGAGTCAGTCCCACATATCAAGCCCCAGTAGCTAGTGGTAAAGGGAGCTGATCAGTAGGAAAAACAGCCCAATAACTCCTCTGAGTGTCACAGTTGCTGACTGTCAGGGCATCCCAGCAATGGATTCTTTCTTTAAGCACTGAATTTGGCTCAATTTCAGTTAATTGGTCTCACAAGTCACTGCAGATTCATTGTACTAAGTTTATAAAATTAAATTTAATGTTTAATTTTTTTTAATTTTAAGGCTCTCATAAACTTTAAGAAGCAAGAAATATAACCCAAAGACAATGTTTAGTAGGCTACCCATGTATCTCTTTGATCATATCCCCTCAAAAACTGTAACTTCTCTCATTAGGTAAATGAGTCAATTGTTAGATTCAGAATTCTTTGGAAGTTACTGAGGATTGGAAAAAAAGGATTCATTTTAAACTCAATTCAGTTTATAGATTTAAATGCTAAAACTGAGCAACAAGAGCTAAATATACGTCATTACCAGCGTGAATGTAGATTTCACCTAGAACAACTGGGGGAAAATTAAAATTAAACATTTTAAAATGACCTGGCAATACTATTCTTGAGAATAATAAATTGCAATCAATCAATCAATTATATAGATATCCACCCAAAGATATTTTAAAAACCTATGCCTGCCACATAGAAGATGATCAATAAATAGTAATTAGGATTCTATTTAGTTTTTTTTCATACATGTATTTATTTTAAGAGAATGACAAAATCCCAACTAGACATCTCTTGTTGCTAAATGAAACCTCCACTGCCCTGAATGAGTTACATGGAATTGAGTTTTTGGGCAAAAGGACCACATGTAAACTCCCAAACAGCCCAGGATTTTAATAAGGCTACTGGTTGCTCCCCACACACTGATGGTAAGGCCCAATTGCTGAAGACAATGCCTACATAACGCACTGAACATAGAGTAAGCTGGTGCCGACCTAGAGCCTTCAGCCCTACTGACGACTGTTCATGGTACTTGAAGGTACTCTGCACACTACCAGAGGAGAAAGGTCAATACAAATGCAGCTACAAACCATTCAGCCTACAATGGTGGTGTGACTGCATGATATGTGTGTGTAACAGTGGTACAAAAGATGTTGGAGTAACCAACCATTATTTGATTGGATTTAAGGCTCAGTCCATGAGAAGGAACCCATACTTGACAATGATGCTCCAGGGGCAAAAAATCAGTCTAAGTAGGCCAGGGATCTAAGGGAAAACCAAACACTACTGTTTTACTAAAGGAATGTAGCAATAAAATGACTGCTAAGAACACTCTGCTACATTCAGAGATCAGTGTTTTTCTTCACTGTCATTAGAGAAACTTCCTCCTACAGAGGATGGCAATAAATACAGAGACTCACAACTGAACAATGTGCAGAGAATGAGAGACCTTGGAACACTCAGTCCTAAATGAGATATCTCCATCAAATCCCTTCCCTCAGAGCTCAGGGAACTTTGCCGAAGAGGAGGCAGAAAGATTATAAGAGCCAATAGGAGTCTATGACGCCAAGGAAACAAGCCTTCTAGCTACAACAGGACAGATGCACAGATGCATGTACAAACTTACAGAAACTGTGGCCGCATGCACAGGGCCTGCACAGTTCAAGGCCAGATGGGGTAACAAAGCTGAGAAGGGAAGTAGACACAAGCCTCTATCCCTAACCCAGAAGCTATCTCCAATTGATAACCACTTACAAAAGAAAAATTTGTTTTCTCCAAGGGAGTCTCACTGGATATACCAACCACACTTAAGGGCAGGCCCCCAGGCCCAGCAGTAGAGTGCCAACACAAACAAGCTCCATAGTGTTTTGGGAACTTTTCTGTCTTTTTTCTTTTTCTTTTTTGTTTTTTCGAGACAGGGTTTCTCTGTGTAGCTTTGCGCCTTTCCTGGAACTCACTTGGTAGTCCAGGCTGGCCTCGAACTCACAGAGATCCGCCTGGCTCTGCCTCCCGAGTGCTGGGATTAAAGGCCTGCGCCACCACCGCCCGGCCTTTTCTGTCTTATAATGACTTGTCTAGGCATTTTTTAACCTTATATACAGTTCTTTTGCTTGCATATTATATATTATGGTTTCCAATTTTATGTTTTATGGGATTTCTGTGTGTGTGTGTGTGTGTGTGTGTGTGTGTGTGTGTGTGTGAGAGAGAGAGAGAGAGAGAGAGAGAGAGAGAGAGAGAGAGAGAGAGAGAGAGAGAGAGAGAGAGACTGCATCTGTATGTGTTTCTTGTGCTTTTTCTTTCACTCTTTGTTTTTCTCGGCTTACCTGTTTTGTCCTATTATGTTTTTGTTTGTTTATTTTTAGTTGTCTGCTTTCTAAGAGAGGAAAGAAGGTGTAGATCTGAGTGAGTTGGAAGGAGAGGAAGGTTAGAAGGATGTGGGGGTAGTTAAGGGAAGGGAAGCAGTGATTAGAATATAATGTATGGAATATAATGTATATTTTCATAATAATTAAAATTGTCAAATTAAAAAAATGTTTATTGTAACAAATACTACTTTAAATAAAAACGTAAGAGACTGGATGAAATGTTGATGTTCATAACTTCTTTTTTTTTTACAGGTTCATGTTTTTATTGGACATGTTAACAAAAGAGGTTTAGTCAAAAAGACCAAAGCCCATGTCGTCATCAGACTCCTCAGATTCTTCCTTCTTTGCTTCCACTTTCTTCTCCTCAGCTGGGGCAGCAGCAGCAGAGGGGGCACGACTGCCTACTGGCGCGGCTCCAGCTGCTGGAGCAGGCCCACCAGCCCCTACGTTGCAGATGAGGCTCCCAATGTTGACACTGGCCAGGGCCTTTGCAAACAAGCCAGACCAGAAAGGTTCCACATTGACACCAGCCGCTTTAATAAGGGCGTTGATCTTGTCCTCCATGACCGTCACCTCGTCGTCATGCAGGATGAGGGCGGAGTAGATGCAGGGAAGCTCGGAAACCGAGGCCATATTGCGGACCGCCGGCACGGTGCTAGTCGCCCGATGAAGTGAGGGTCTCACCCCAACGCGGCCTTAGCTTCCTCGGAAGAACCGAGCACCTTGGCGGCAGCTGAGGAAAGGCTGTTCCTAACTTCTTTCTGCAGTATACCACTCTTTGTTCTTAAACCTGAAATACATTTCAGCAGCATTTTGTAGACTTGGGCTAAAATAAATGAAACCCCAAGGACACAAGTTGTAAAACACTAACAAGTTCACCCCACCTCATGTTACTTCTAAACTTTAAGAGAGGAAAAGGGAAAAGGAAAAATTATGACAAGATGAAGGAGAAAAGGAAGAAATGAAGGAAGGGAGTAAGAAAGGAAGGAAGATTTCATTTCTTCAAAGTAAAAGTACAGTTCTACAGTAACAGCAACTAAATCAGAATTTGGTTCTTATTTCTTTTAACCTTCTGCAATGCCACAAACCCACTGCCCATGAGCATTCCTTCTTCTACTACATAGTGGGTTTATCCTCTCTTGTGTCTTCATTATCTATATCCACATTATCCACATATGGACCCTAAGTAAATTTTATGAAATCTTGTCTGTGTTGCCTTTGACTTCTAGGGTAGTGTTATACTGTGTTTCCAAATACACATTAATTTAATTGTGTCAACATTTACAAGCACAGATCATCTTCTCCCACTTCTCTATACACTACCCCACTCCACTCCACATTCTATTCCATCCACATCACGGCATTGTTAGGTGGCTGCCTTTTGAGGCACTTCAGCAAGCAAAACCAACTCTTTCATCTGTTCCCAGTGACAGCCATGTTTCTGACAAGCTGATTCTACCCCCAGCTATAAGAAGGTAACTTTATGCAATAGCTTAATACATCTGAATACTTCAGCTACACCTTTTAATTATATTATATATCTCAGCAGGCTAACATATTCTGAGGTTGTACTTAAATATTCACCTTGAAATAGAATAGAATGTGTATTAAATTAAACTACCAGATAAGACAACTTTGGCTGATGCATCTGCCAAGCAAGTGACAATTTACATAATTAGTTAGCAATACTGAAGGTATTCTGAATTATTTCCTGCTTATTTTTTTAATAATCTGGTACATACAGTCCAAAGATATATGCAGTTTCTATTAAACAATACACTATCAAGCAATATCTGAGCAAGTGTTGTGTCTGTGGCTAGTAATATTCATGGTATATTAGATCAATTCTACAGATGAACAAACCAAACAAAAATGATCTGTTTTGGAACACCATGACAGAAACTGTAGGAGTCCTATGAAGTGAGGAAGATGATATCAAGTCATACACTCTCCCACACCCACTTTCCTCTATCACTATTAAAAAACACATTGGTGTAGCAGTGATAGCCTAAGAATCCTAAAGCTAGCCTGGAGTCTTCCACACTTATTTTAGAATCTCAGCACACTAGCCAATTTTGAAATGTAGCTTGTTGGAACAGCAGAACACCCTGTCAACAGAGTACTCCAACTGTGACCCATCACACTGGACCAGACCCCAAGGGTTTCCAAGTGGACTGAGATTGGCACCAATCTTAAAAGGCAGGAAAAAGTTAGAGGAACAAATAGAGGTCAAGTTTTGTGTCTAAAAGAAGTATTAGGGAAGGCTCAGAACAGAGAGCTTGGTGGACTACAGAACCCAGTGCAGGCTCTAAGGAAAAATCCTGGGACATGAGACCACCAAGATACATTTAAAGGACACTGAGTGCATACTGAAGTGTTAATATGATTTACTTGTTATTTTACTCCTATACGGTCTCCCTATGTAACCCACGCTATCTTAAGACCCCTTGCCTCAGACTCCTAGAACTAGGACCGCACACTTGTACCATTATGCCCAGGCTTCGCTTGCATTTAGGAAGCCACATTCTGAGATTTAACTCAAACTTTTCATTTGTTACTAAGGTTTTAATATTACCAAGTAATATGTTCCGTCGGTCTTCTATATGGTGATTACTATGTGTGTAGAATCAATATTTGAGAAAGAAACTTGTCTGTACTAAATGAGTATAGCCTTTCCCCTGGTCTTTAGTCCCTAAACAACTCAGTATGCCAACCACTTATGCAGTATCTACATTGTATTGGACACTACAACTAATGTACGGGTGTTTGGCACATTACAAAAGAGGCTATGAATAAGTTCTATGCAAAGATTATACTTCTGTATAATAGATTTGAGCATCTTTCCATTTTGGCATGGGGGGGGGTGGTCCTAGAAGCCACCCCCATGAATGCCCACTGACAACTTAATTTTAAAACATATCTCAATTGTAGGGGTAGATATGAAATGTATTGGGAAGAAAAGAAGAGAAATGCACACAGTAAAAATTTAAAACATGTCGATAATGTGGCTTGGCAGGCAACTACATCAAGGAAAATAAAAATTGGAAAAATGGGATATTCTGAACCTTGTGGTATTTACTACTTAATGGAATGTTGGCCGAAAACAGTCAAATAAATATTTCATTTCATCCAGTACCACTTAAAAAGTAGGTAAGACACAATCCCTTCTGAGACAATTGCCGTGGCAGTATGGGGTAAGCATAATGGGCTTCAAGCTGCATAAAGTTTAAGCTAATATTCGTGGGCTGAGATGGTTACCTCGTCTTCTTCCCTGAAATAGTGCCTTATATGATTCCCATAGGCAAAATAATCTCAGTGGGTTTTGAAAACCCGTGTAAATAAGTGCAAGTTCACTTTAAAGCTCCAGCTACATATTAAAGCCAAATCAACACCCTTTGCTAATGGAGATGTTCAGAAAAGATAAAACAGCTCAAAGCCGAGCACTGCGTTTGTGCTGCTATTTCATGTCAAGGCAATTACAGTGATAGTATTAGGAAGATCAGGGTGGGAGCGGTGTTGTCATATGGGGAAGGGAAAGCAAGCCTTTAAGCAATCATGTAGAGCATGCAGAACATCTTAAAGCTGGGGAAGGAACAAAGCTCCGCGCTGTCGGAATATTGATCTGCTCCAGAAGGTGCGGGGAGCTGCACTGTGGTGATTGCCTTCCCCGCTGGGTTTAGAGAGGCCTGAAAGAATACAGTATTGATCTGGCCTCACTCCTGAGACGCAACTTACAGATAAGCCCTGACTGGAGGCCACCAACCTTGAGAGCAAACTGTTGCAAAGAAGCCTCGTTTGCCACACGTCCAACATCAGAGCTAATGCCGTGGGGAATGATGAGAACAGACTTCCATCTCTGCTCAGAGGGGCTAGCCCTGTCCTTCCTCTCCCATGTAAATTACAGGTGTTTCTGAACTCTCGGGAGGCTGTGTTTTGTCAAAGAAGGAAGATGTGTGCTAGTGCGATTTTACTTGTTTACTTGACACCATTCACAGCCTCGTTTGCGTCATGTATCGTCCTCTCAAGAATATTATCTATTTGTGAATAACAATGTTGTTAGAGTATGCAAATGTCACAGGAAACCCCAAGCACATTCAAAGACAGCAGGGTAAGGGGAAGCTTGAGAGTGTGAGGAGGTTTATAGTGTAGGTTTTTGTGTGGTGTATACACACATGTATGTACTGGCACACCTACATAAGGACAGATATGCAGAGGCTAGAGCATGATGTTGGGTGTCTTTTTCTACTACTTTCCAATTTTTTTTTCCAAGACAGAGTTTCTCTGTGTAACAGTCCTGGCTATCCTGGAACTCACTCACTCTGTAGGCCAGGCTGGCCTCGGAACTCACAGAGATCTACCTGTCTCTGCCTCCTGAGTACTGACTGCATTTACAGGTGTGCACCACCACACCCAGCCCCAACTTATTTTTTGAAACAGGATTTCTCACTGAAACTGAAACTCACCATTTCCTCTAGGCTAGCTGGTCAGTGAGCTCCAGGGATCCAGCTATCTTAGCCCCCAAATCTGGGGTCAAAGGGTCTCTTGTTTGTGTAGTAGGTGCTGTTTCCTACCCCCTGATCCATTTCCTCAACCTCAAAGTGAAGTCCTCAAAGACAAACACAAGGAGTGTCACGGCAGACAGTTAGGACAATCGTCTTTGACCAGGGCAATCAAAAACGAGAGTTGTGTATAACACATCGTAGTGGAACTAATAACGTCTGGTTCACAAAGTGGGCTCTGGATTCAACGGACGAATAGGAAAGCCACTCAGAAAATGGTAGGTTTTCACAGCTAGAGGGATGCCAGCAGGAAGTGAGGAATCTTTACCATCTGCTATCCAACTAGTAGAAGTCTGTGACTCAGGGCTGGAGGGATGGTTCGGTGATTCGGAGCAGGTACCGTGACTCCTGAGAAACAGAGTCCCTAGCACACCCACACCACCTGTGCCTCACAACTACCTGTAACTCCAGCTCAAGGGGAATCTGATGCCACTAGCCTCCAAGGGCACCTGCACACAGGAGCACATTCCCACATAGATTCACACACATACACACATAATGAATCTACATCTTTAAAATGAAATAAAAAGTTTTTATAATTAAAAATAGATTTTTTTTTCTTTCCTTCAGAAAAAAAGTGACGCCTTTGATATTTTTCCTTCCGGAGCTCTGGGTACAAGTCATGTACCCAGTCGTCCACACATATAATCCAACTTCCTTTCAAACATGGAAATAAAAACATCCTCCCCCAAAATCCCCCCTTCCCATGCCACTCCGCCGCTTGCTCCTGGTTTCCTGGTGGAAATGACTGTAACCATGGAGTTTTGCATGGTTTCAACATCTGGCCACAAGTTAAAATGGGCCAGATGCAACAAAGAAACTGGGAAACTGGGCTCAGGTATTGCGAAGTTTAAACTCCAAAAGAAAAAAAAGGAGTGGGATTTTAGAGCATGGTGAGCTTTTTGGCGTAGTGATAAGGATATCTCATTTGCAAAGGAAGAGGGTTTCAAGTTTGCTTATCACTCCTCTGAGAGCCCAATAATTTTGCCATTGTTCTGAAATTCCTCGGAATAGGACCTGGGTCATTTAATTTTTGTATGAAATGCAGTGGTGGGCTGGGGAAGCTGTCTCGGC